GCCAACCCAGATGGCATGAGGTTTGGTGAGGTTTGCCAGGGCTACAAGGGGTTCTTCCACTGACCCACTTGCCGCATGCCATCCCAGACAGCATGAGGTTTAGTGAGGTTTGCCAGGGCTACAAGGGGTACGTGACAGTCTCAGATGCCGCGAGTTAGTCCACGATCGTCAATTTTTCAGCCACTTTCCTCCTGTCCTGGGTTTGGGACCTGGGCACTGCGCTGCGCTGAGCAGGGCCTGGGACATGGGTGGGTGCTCTAGCACCAGTGCATGGAGGGCTGTAAGCAGCACAGGGCCAGGACAATCCAGCTCAGCCAGGTGATGCTGGTGCCTGGGGACGTGGTCAGTCTCCCCCAGGCTCCTGCCTCCCACAGTGGCAAGCAGTGTATGGTTTAGAGCGGGGGTGAGCCCACAGACCACGTAGGGAGTTATGAGAAGCTGTTGCAGACTGGGTCGGCACCACCTGGCCTTCACCCCGCCCTGAGCGTGCCCTGACTCTGCCCCTTCTCCCACAGACTGGCCTGGATTGTCCCGTGCTGTATTGCCCCCAGGAGATAAACACCTGAACTCCTTCCCTCCCCCAGCACCCCTGTCCTCCCCTCCCTCCATCCTCCCCTGCCTGATCCGGGATGGGCCCACAGGATGCCAGCGTTGGTGATTCTGCCTCTCTGAGCATGTAAGTGGATTCCTGTTCCTTCTAGGTTTCCACAGTCTCTTCTTTTGTCTCATTTTATTGGGCCTGCACACTCCAACTGAGGGGCCATCATGGCCTTAGGGCTTCGTTGGGCTGCAAGGAACCATGTCCTTTGAACATGCCCATAAGCCAGGCAGGATGCAAGTACACCTGAGCTATAAGGCAAGGAGGATGCACAAGTGTGAACAGCAAAGCATGCAGCATGGTACGAGCCACTGCTGCATTGCTCTGATGTTCCACCTGTTCAGCTTTTTGGCTTTAAATGGAGTGCCCTTGTCCTAAATCTGGACCATCAGATGTGGACTGGACAGTGCAGCCCAATGCCATCAGACTGGTGGCAAGATTTTCGAAAGGGCTTCACCTTGGCATGGCCTGCTTTGATCCTTCCAAGTGAAGTATGGTCGACTGGTGCCTTCTGAGTCAGGAGGGGTACTTCCCCCCAGCAACCAGTCTAGGCATCGCTTCTCTTGGCGTCCCCACACCCTGGCTGGTGCTGTCAGGGGGAGACCAGTGCTTTTGCCTGGCCCCCCACTCATGCCTAAGCAGGAAATGCTGCTGCCAGGGGATGCACCAGCGCTCTCAGGGGATGCACATGCACCCCTGAGTGTCTCCTGCACATCGCTGCTGTTGGAAGGAGTCGCAAGTGTCTCTGGAAAAGAAGGCACTCTTTTGAACTACTTCACAGTGCACCAGTGTTACATTGATGTATGACGGACAACCTCTAAAATATCCAGCTGGAAACTCCACGGTCCCTGGAAATAGTGTGTCTCTGCCTTGTCCTCAGATCACAGATGTGCATACGGGCCTAAACATTTTTGTGGATGGCTGCAGCTTTTATGAGGAAGGAAAATGCTCATGACCTCAGAGTTATCTGAGGTCATCAGTCAGATAACTCTGGGGAAGATAAAGTAACCAGGCTATATGCAGGCTGAACCATCCCTTACCACTCCCCCAACCCCCTGCCCATCGTGTCCCCATTGGCTTGTAACATTCAAAGCCGTAGGAAATCTTCATGGTGAGATTGGCCCCCCACTCTCATGTATCCTTGTAACAGGCCTCCACCCACCACACCTCGGTGCTGCGGCTCGGGTACCCTGGCTGCAATCAAGGCAGGCAGTGCCGTGCCAAACTGAGGACCCCACCGCAATTGCCCCGAAGACTGGTTGGAACAGCGTAAGAGCGGGCCTGGAGAGAGACGCACCCGGGGCTTGCACTGGGACACTTGACACAGGATTGGATGCTTTCCCAGCTGCCAAAAAACCTGGCAGTTTTCCCCAAGCCCACCACACTTGGGGAAGCATTGAACACTTTTCTGGCTTCCATAGCATTTAGGAAAAACCTGGAGGCTCAACTCACCACTGCAAGGAGTCCAGCAGGCTCCCACCACAGACCGAAATACCCAGGGAAGCACCACACCGCTCTCCGAACTCCTGGAGCATCGGGTACCCAAGTGGATGCTCTCCCTCCCAACACAGATGCAGCAGGACCCCAAAATGCACACAGGACCCTGTGCAGAAGCCTCCAGCTCAGGTGTGGATGGGAGAGGGCCGTCTCAGCCACGCCAGGGGAAAGGCCAGACTGAGAATGGGATGCCAAGGTGTGCGGGGAGCATAGTGCTCACTTTGTGTTCCCATGAGCTGCTCCAACACAACCTCTTGTGAAGTGACTTCTTCTTGAGGTAGGCTGACTATTATGTGGGTTGGCCTGGTGTGTGCATGGCAGGTGTGGCTGCACTGGGCCCAGGACTGGCCTGCTGCAAACGTTTCTCCACTTGACCACAGCCCAGAGCCCCCAAAGCATGCATACGCCCAGGGTCTCCCAGCGCACACAGTTGCCCGGCTTCCACCATTTGACAACTTGGCTCCTGGTGAAGTCAATGGTAACGCTCCTGTGGAGTTCAGCAGAGGGACAAGCAGGTCATTAGTGCTTCAGCCCAGACTTATAGATTCACAGAAGTAACGAACAATAAGGATGGGATTTGAACCCATACAGGCAAAACACAACAGATTAACAGCCCATCACCTTAACCTCTCAGCCACCTTGTCATGGATTACCACACAATTATTTTTTTTCCAGAACCCAGCTGCAGGTTAGTGGAAATTTGGTGTCTAATTAAAAATACAAGAGATGATAAAATGACAGCAAAAGTATATTCAATTACTGTTGATTGCAGTAGGCTTTTCATGCAGCTTGATGATCCTATTGATCTCTGTATAGACATTGATAGACAACTTTTTCTGTTTTTTTTATTTTATTTTAACTTTATAACTTAAATTAGCCCATGGTGCAACTTGTTGTTAGTTCATACATTTCCTCTGCATGCCTCTTGTGTCTTGTACTGAAACAACACATGTCAATACTTTGTTCCATACTCTGCCACAGACTGCCTTGGTGACCCTGGGCACGTCATTTTGCCCCTCTGTGCCTTAGCGCTGTGACCGTAAGTGGGAATGATCCTTTTCTACCTCCCTGGGAAGTTGTGAAGACAAGGAGGGTTGGAAGGGACCTCAGGAGGTCACATCTAGTCCAACCCCCTACAAAGAACAGGACCATCCACATCTAGATCATCCCAGCCAGGGCTTAGTCGTGCCTGGCCTTAAAAACCTCCAAAGATGGAGATGCCACCACCTCTCAGGGTAACCTATTCCAGTGCTTCGCCACCCTCCTGGTGAGAAAGTTTCCCTAATATCCAACCTAAACCTCCCCTTCTGAAACTTGAGGCCATTGCTCCTTGTCCTGTCATCTCTGCCACCACGGAGAACAGTCCAGCTCCATCCTCGTGCAAACCCCACTTCAGGGAGTTGAAGGCTGCTATCAAATCCCCTCTCAGTCTTCTCTTCTGCAGATTAAATAAGCCCCGTTCCCTCAGCCCCTCCTCAGAAGTCATGTGTCCTAACCCTGTAACCATTTCCATTGCCCTCCACTGGACTCTCTCCAGCTTCTCCATGTCCTTTCTGTAGTGGGGGGCCCAAAACTGGACACAGTAGTCCAGATGTGGCCTCAGCAGTGCAGAATAGAAGGGAAATAATCACTTTCCTCAATTTCCTGGTGACCTTCCTTGCTCTTCTCTGTTTCTTTTCTCAGCAGGATGGTACCTAGACTCCCGGCAGCCCTGGGCAAACTTGCAGTATCAGGCCCCACATTGCCAGTTATAATGATTTCTTGTTGTGAATGTCT